AACGGGAATCAGCACAATGCTGCCCATTCTCGGTCCCTGCCTGGTGCACAGGGACTTGATCCCCAAAGGTGCCATAGGCCACCCCGCAGTTTGACGGGTAACCCACGTCAGAAACTACCGAGGACTGCGTACACCTGGGCGATGCTCATGCCATACGCGGTTTGCCGATGCAGTCAGGCCGCAAGCAGCGGGATAGTAGCTAATCTGAACACGCCGCAAAGGACTTGCCTCAAATCTGTAAGGGCCTAGCACAGTGGAACCAACACTAGGTGTGCCTAACTTTCTGAAGTGGGTGAGAGCGGGCCAAGGGGTGTACTGTGCACCACTCTAATGCCTGCACTACTTAGACTTATGCGTATGCTTGCTTTTGTATCCATATGAACACGGGGGAAAAACACACACTGTATGGAACCCTGCCCGCATTCGCATCGAACATACTAGAACTCCTAGAGCACAAAGCGTGAAACATGAAGATCTTACAACTGTTGTTTAAGCATCATTACTAGGTGCATTTAGACTCCCAAAGCATGTGGTTTGGTTTGCTTTGACAGAACTCCGTTGGCACTCCCATCCAACCAATGGAGGTTCCCCGATTACTGAACCAATCTGGCATATTTAGTGGATGAGTACGGGAACCTGGACATGGTTTGAAAGGACGTAAACCTGACAACTTATATATTTTGTCTTGAAGCTGGGGAACTGGGCATTTATCTTGACTGTTACAATAATCTCAGAAATGAACAATGGACATCGCGAAAAGGAAAGCATCATTCATTCCATTTGTCCTTTCACTCTTTTGCCAGTCATTTTGTTCCAGCAGTCTGTGTTCAAGGAAACTTGGTGCAAATCACCGTCCAATACTTTTCGGCATGAGTACCTTCATGGACATTCAACAAAATCTCGTCGGGACCACAGCTAATTAAAATCCGATAGCTGAAAGAGTTAATCATAACGCGTGCAGGCACTTAGCCGCCAGTGTGCAGCTGCGAACAATGGCCCGCCCGATGGAAGAACAATATTTTTACGTTACATCAAGGAACGTACGACTGACTGTTTTTGTATGGAAAAGGCCTAGTCAAAGGATCCCAACGAACACACCTGTGCTATGCGTGCTGAAGCAGCAGTGCGTCCAAAAGCTAGTGCAGTGATTGCCCAAAACAACACCATTCTCTTAGCAGGACTGCGCTGATCATGATTACAAATCAGAACTTAGCAATGACACGGTCCGGCTATATGACAAAACCCGCGCACGTTGTATTAAATAGAGTTGGCACACGATCTAGCTGTTCCCCACTGCACATTCTGTGTCCATTATTGTAGTCTTGTGCTGATTCTGTCTGAGGTCTCTGCGTCCAGGGTTGGTTCGAATTCAGCAAGTCGGGATAGCCAGCGAAAATCACGTAGTCCTCGCGGTTTCTGAACTTTCTGTGCGATCAAGCTGGCAGAATCAAATGCATGGTGTGACAGCTTTTGCACATTTTTTGGCTCTTGCACTTGGTGCTGCAGGGTAAGTGATCAAACCCCGACTTGGAACAAACTTGCAGGTCACGGCCTCTGGCAAGTACTCATTGGGCACACTGATAATGCATTTGTTCAAAACAATTGGCATCGTTTGCACCATGAAGGCAATTCTGCTGAGTGACATGATTAATTCTATCTTTCGGCACATATGCGATTCTATAGAGAGATCTTTTGGAGTCAAGAAAACCAATCGGTCCTGATTGATGTTGTATGGACTGCTGCTCCAGGAAGAGGTAAAGAGGTCCTCGAGAACGCATTGCACCCTGTGGAGTCATTGTGGATTTTGATACTTTAGAGCTCTATATATGCAGGTACACCAATGTATGTATACTCCATAGTTCCATAGGTATCATGCAAACCATTGCATCCATCAACGTCCAAGAAATGTAATTATACGTGTTGCTGAGCGCCAGGCGTAGGCACTGGGTGCGCTAGTGTTGGTCATGAAGCCAGCGTATACTGAGTGCACCTGGCGAGGTGCACTTTCGGGGACATCCAAGACCGAAGACAGCCTCCTATATTAGCATTTCAATTATGTAGACTTTGCTTCAGCCTTAGTCTTCTTGCACTTCCATGTCACACATCAGGCAGAAACACAACTCCTGAAAAATGGATCATGACAAGTGCCTAAGTACCCAGCCGATAGGTCTGACTTTCAAAAGGCACACAGTATAATATGTCAGCTGTTTGCAGCAGCTTTTGCACCTAAGTGTAGGTAATGTAATTCATGTCTTATGGCATACGAAACATATAATACAATATATATATATATACACAATGTACACTGCAATGTACATAGTTGTATTAATTACTCTTTTAACATGCCCGCAACGATCGAATTAAACCAGCCAGGGTCACACGGCAGTCTCGAACGTGGCGAACTACAGGGCATTCTTGGATCATAGAATTAAAGGAATCAGCTTCCATTGAAAACAGCCTGGCAGCCCGGTCTTTTTGATTATGAAAGGTTTGTAATAACTGATTATGTGAGACCCACGAACTTGCAGTTCTCTAAAAGGCCACACGATGGTTGCGAGTAGGTCTATGAGACTAGTAGTGACTAGTGAGCCCACCCTTCAACTCTAAGCCACATCTTTCTCAACAAACAAAATAGGCCTGGACAGTTCAAACAGCAGGGCGACAATATGAATGTCCGAACGAACAATGGTCTCTTCCATATTCTGGTTTTCTGTCAGCAACGATGTTACATCATGTTACAATCCTGAATATGAGAATCCGTGATAAACCTTGGTGCATAAATTGAAGCTTTTTTGGCACGGCTCAAGAGTTGCTTTCTCACTAACACGGCAAGCCCACTATGTGGGATGTCTCTTGACATCTAGCCATCTAGCTAGTGTATCAAGCCAAGCACCATGTGTCAATTTCTATGCATGATGTGTTAAGCATTGTTAAGCATTTGCAGGCGGCGACGTCCCGGCATCCATCTTTGCTGTGGGGCTGATTTCAAGCTGGTCGCCAAAGGAGGTTGCTAAACAATGGCGCTTTACCCCCAAGGAAATCGTCATGATTAAACATGACATACCAATTGTCGCCCGACAACCTTGTTAAAGGAATTGAACAGGAGGGGAGCGCAGCCTCGAAGTCTCAAACATATCTTGTTTCCTCATACCTTGACATTCGCACACCTGTTCGCATCAATCAAAGCCAGCAAGGCAACTCCTGGTTGGCATTTTCCACAGTGACGTCCAACACCGTGGTCCAGTTCTGCAAAAACACCAAACCGAGGAGTTTTCTTTTTTTTTTTCTGGGGGGGTTGAAGTCAACTCCCTTAGCAGTGCAAACATTAGGATGCAAATTGTAACTCCTTCACTCTTTGCAACCCGCAGAAACCTATTTGTTGATGACACACAGTCACATGCTGGAATTCTGATTCCAATCAATGTAGCAAACAAGTATCAAACAAGTGCATGTCTTCGTGGCATGGACTCCCAAAGTCAGCAAACGACTGAACAAAGAACATCCAGTTACTAAAGTTACTTGCACAGCTTCACCGCAATGTGTCCCTGTCTGAGTGTGCACTTCTCAGAGTCTTGCTTCGTGCTTGATGGGTAGAGAAGTTGAACCGTTTGCACAAGCACAATAGTTGCTCCAATCTGTTCAAACCACGTCTTTAGAATGATTGGAATGCAAATCCGCTTGAAAGCACCACACGAGCATTACTCAGAAGATCGTGCCTCCACCTATTTTGTATTGTTGGGATTTACGCGGCAACTCACGCACGGCTCCCTGTTAGTTCAGCTTATGCTAGAAGGACACGCAAGCTGCACAAACCAGTAAGTGGTTCTTGTGCGATCGTGCATGGTGCGAGCATCCATGGTACAAACAGATACCAACAAATGCACAGTGTCTTTGAGCATAGCTCACACGGTAGCCTGCTTTGCTGCCTTAACTCAGACTGAACTACAGTATATATACTGTATATGAATGTATTTATATGATAATATGTGTATGAAGCATGCACAAAGAGTCCAGCCTCGGTCATCGTGGAATTCACTGCACGAAAGCCTCCAAAGAGAAACTCACAGGGCAGCTTAAAGTAACCACCTTGGTGACGCACGCTCTCGATTTGCTGCGCTGCTGGTCAAAAAGTGAAGTCCAGCGTTTACCAAAAATACTTGGAACTTTGCGCAACTGGCTTGTTCTACACGTGTGAGGCTATCATCCGCTGCCTAATTTTTGCTTCATTGTAGCTCAAATGCATGCATGAAGCAAGCCAATGATTGGTTGTGCAGTGTTTTGCACTGAAATCTGAGGCCCATCAAATTCTGCATTTCAGAATAGCGCTTGGCACACCCGCAGAACTCAGAACCTTCTCAAATCCATCAATTGACCAGGGCATGGAGTATTGTGACCACTTTTTGGTCTGCTCATCTTCTCCACGGCTTGACTGCAGCGACCTTGCTTCCTGCCAGAATTTCAGAGCCCAAGAGGATTCTGCACGAAGGACGATCTCGCAGCCCGGCAATGTATTCACTGCGGGTGTCTTGCACATTCTTGCACGAGGATCTGCCGTCCAAGTGCTGGTCCGACAGTGTCTCTGTTAAGCTCGTCCAGCCGCAAAACATGTCAGTCTGTCTCCACCGACTAGACCTTGTGCCTCTTATATAATGAACTTTTGGAAACAAATCCTTGTAACTTGCTTCATCTATGTAATGTAGGATGAGAACCATCTCATTAGCACCTCAGTTGGCTCCATTGCAACCAACCCCTTTCTTCATATTGCTAAAATGTTGAAACTGATTGTTGCGAGAAAAAGAGAACATACCTTTGTCTGATCACCTACGACAAAGGTGCAAGATCACACCCAGGAAATTCTTCAAGACTCTTGCAGTGCACAATCACCTCATACACGCCACATGCAAGGATGTTATGGGCGCTTGTATGCCTAGCCGTAGTAGACCCCTCATATCCTGGAGCTATAAACTGCATGGCTACTCAGGACAAAGATTGAAGCAACTCTAGAACAAGCTCCCATGTCCACTTGAGTGCTTTTGCCTAGCTGCAAAGGCTGTTGGTGTTCCAATAGCATATCCCAAGGTGTCAGATACTGCAGCCGGAACTACCAGCTGAGTCAAGCAAAGTGATTCAGCAAAGGTGGCAGCTGTTGAAGGCCCACCAACGGCAGCATTGCTGGCAACAAGCCAAACTGGAAGTTGAATGAACCTGGCGTTTCTGGTGCTCTGAGTCAAGCTACGCAGCAGCCCGACTCCCAGGATAGTTCAATAATCAAAGACCAAACCGACAAAGTTCTCCGAGCTGATGAAGGTCCAAACAGCAATGTCATTCCCAATTGTTCATATCTTGGTTACATCATATTACATCCATTCCTCTCTCTACGCAGCTTTCTTCCATGAAAACTCCTCATCAATGGCCACAAGTACAGCACTTATCCTATGTTGGTGCCTAAAATTAATAGCAGGCAGAGTTCTGTTTCATAGTGAATTCTCGGCCAAAAAATGGCCCACCATGTCCAACACCGCCCAAAGGCTGCCTTCTACCAAAAGCTCCTTTCAGCAGCTGACTCCCCAAAGCGACAAACAGCAAGTGCCCAAGCAAAACCACTGCAGAAAGAAGAAAAATCCCAGCACCACCGGCAATGCCACTACCAGCACCAATGCCTGCGAACATCAATGAACTGGGCTCCTCTGCTGTGATACTGATTTTCGCATGTTCAAGCACACCTCTGGACTCAAAGTCCAACATAAGGTGGTCAAAGAGCATGTGACTTGAACAAAAGACAAGGCGGCAGCATACCCAAGTCCCTCATGAATAGTCTATTGCGAAATCTCACGAAGCGTTTGATCCTCGATATGAACACTCTCCATGCTCGTGATCTGATCCAAGGGATATGGGGCCAATGTTCTGGAAGTTCCCAATGGCCCTGCCTAGTGTTGTGTAGAAGCAGCCCAAGAACAACTGCGCAACATAGGCACCACTTCCAGCCACTCTATGGCACTGTTGGGATGACGCCCACAGGCGACATGATTGAGCCAGCACCTGTCTGGATGAAACCAAGTCAACTATTTGTTGACTGCAATAAGAGAAAATGGTGCAAGCTTCGCCATATTGTGCAGAACAGTCTCAACGACTCAACAACTGTTTCGGTGCAAACATTGGCTTTCCTGACACATGTCACAGGTTCTGCATGAACAAGCAGCAGCTTTATCCAATCTATGCTGCGCTTCGCTTCATTAAGGGTTCCTCACATCGATTTGACCACATAATGAGGTGGCCACACTAATATCAATATATCTTACCTCAACGAAGAGATTGCAATGACAACTTCTTTGCAGTGGTGCCAAAAGCCTCTGCGGCCGAGTAGCAACTGCAAGAATCACAGCCATGGCAGAGTTGGCACCAGGAAGCTTCAAACGTGAAGCACAAGAAAGGGACAAGGAACAAACACACAAAGCTGTGGTCGCCAACCAAACACGAAGTGCCAATATGCTCCAAAGGCTCATCCTCGGAAAATTGCACTTTGGGCATGGCACGCTACTTGATACTGTGTTCGCATATGTTCTGTGTTGTTGACATCCTCCTGAAGAAACTTACCTGCCTCTCAACTCCGGCCAAAAAAACAGCAGCAAACCATTCCAAGTGTCATATCCTCTTCCGTTGTTTCCATCTTCGCAAATGTGTTGTCAAAGCCGGTCACTCCATACCTCCCCACTCTTGAGAACTTTGCTGCCAACATCAGCCCGGCAAAATAGAAGCACATCAGCAGAACATCAGCAGCGGCCAAACAGCCCAAGAAGCCTTGAGCATCCTTGGCCAAACCAGTTTCCCAAGCAACTTCAGCCAAGTTTGCGCTGCCCCCAATGTATGTCGCCACCAAGCATCCACAGACTTTGGACACTAGGGCAGTTGGAATATTGGCCAAGCTCGATGTTGGAAAGTAAGTCACAGAGTAAAGCGCGATAAAGAATGCAGCAATGGCACCGCCACAAGAAGCCAGGGAGCACACCAAAAAGGCTATCAAAGTTCGCAACATGTTGGAACTGTTCTTGGATTGTCTTCTGTCCTGTCGAGCCTGTGCTGAGAGAACCATCAAAGGGAGAGCTGCAGGTAGCAAACGCGACGACAAATAATCATACATGGGATGGTATAGCGGCAGAATACTGAATGTCCTTAGCATCCATCCAAAGCCAAATGATAGCAACGGGCTCGTAATTCTTCTCCCCAGTATTGTCCGGCTTTCAAGAGCCAGTGAAGCTGCCGAAGCACTGAGTAGATACAAAGGAATGCTGGAACTGAGGCTGGAAAGACCTTGTCTAACATTCCTCACGGGCAAGGTATGTCGATCATGAGCTCGGAAGAATGGCAGTCACAACATGTCACAACTGGCTTTTTTGGGAGTCAGCTTGTATATAACTCAAAAAAGAAACAGCCCTGGTGTCAATTTTGCACCAATCGGTGAGTAGCCAACTTGGCTTGTCTGGTTTCCGTGGAACCATGGAGGCAAGTAGCATCCAATGATATCGGCATTCCTATTGAAACGCATTGCCGTAGAGAAGACACGAGGACTTGTGAAATCCACATGTTCCAACAGCGAGTGGCCGTCTCCTTGCCCGTGGCCCTGGCCCCAGCTCCAGCGGTGCTGGGTGAAGGGTCGAAGACCCCAGCAGTTTTCCCGGCCATGAGGACGGCGGCGGCCGAAAAGCAATCAAAGCAAAGGGTTCGGCCATGGCCATCTCTGAGAGACATGAGTCTGGACCATCTGAGGATGCCGAATGGCATCGAATGGCAAAGAAAACATGCACCAAGGTGCGTCACCATTCTGCTGCTCATGCTTTGTAAGTTTTTCATAGTTTTTCCGAAGTCGGTTCTGAATCTGAAAGAGAAAGTGGCCGCTCACTATTCTTGCAAGCCCGCTTGGCCCCGCCTCCTTGCTTGAACAACTAGAGATTACCTACTCAATTAAGGGGCAACTGGCCGCTACTTGCTACTGGACGCAGGAAGGATAGCTCACGCTTCTTCAAGGAGGGCGGCGGGGAGCTTCCTTGAAGAAGCGCTCGGGCTCGCACTATTCAAAATTGGTTCCTAGATTTTAGGGAAACTCAGGTCTTGCTCTGGTTACTTGCTGCATGATGCGCTCCAACGACGAGGCCGCGGAATGACAAACTCTTGGTTGATGACTGGAACCACACCAGTTCTGGCCAATCCTCAGCAACAACGGCGAGGCACCAACCAAGCGCAAGTGAGTGTTCTGAATGGGAATGGGGATCCAAGACATTTCACACCAAGCAGGATGCTCGAGTCCAATTCAGTTGAACACCTAATTGATCTTTTTGGTGAAAGAAAGGGGTTGATCACACACCGGTTCCCACCACCTTGCGCCTACCAAAGCCTTGGGACCACGGCTCAGAGCTTTTGTCCGCAATCTGCATGATTAGTAAGGGTGCGTAGCAAACCAGCGTAATGACCTTAGGGGAACCCCCGTCTCTGTCCCGTCACGAACAAGCAAGGACACAGCAGAGGACCATCCTGACAGCTCAGTAGCAGTGTAGCTGCACAACTGCAAGAGTCTGTATCCTTACTACTCAAAGCTGGGTGTACGATCTGAGGCCCTTGCAGAGATCAGAAGCAATGTGGAGTGAAAGCGAAAAAAAGCGCCACAAGCCTCCCCATAGTGTGATGCAATGAACCTTGAAGCAGTGGCAATCATGATGCACGGAGTACTCCACTTAAAAATCTTACAAATGCATTGATCGAATCCTACTTATTACTCAAACCATCTCAAACCGAATACCCGACTCACAGAATCAACACCGACATTAGCACAACCATCCAAGCCCCAGACTTAATATCCCGCGTTTGCGGGAGGAAACGCCAGTAGATCTCAGGTGCACTATCTACAAGACAAGGCTCCACAATCTGTTCTTCCAACATCCGAAGCACCCATTTCGTCCAATTTTGGGAGCCTGTGATCATATGTGAGATTATATCATGAAAGCATGAGGTCCCTCATGTATATATAATTATATATATATACGTGCACACAATCCGTGTCTGTGCTTCTTTTTGATCGACATCAAACTGGTACTACATAAAGTGCAACAGAACAACAATACCTTGCAAAAAGGAGCCTTCTTCGGTTAAGAGACTGACGCTGTTGATGATGGCCTGCAGAGTCTTGAACCTTGGTGCAAAGCGGGTCAAAGTTTCGTCTGCAGCAATGATCCAACACTCGCATACATATTGACATATTGATCCTATTCCAAAGCATAAAGGTGACATCAAGTGACTATTGTTTGTTGGTCCTACAACAGACTTAGCGCCCACCTGGCAAAGCAACCTCACAGTTGTGAGGGTAAACCCAATGGGGTAGAACGAATCCAATGCATATAATGGTGTAGTATAGTGTAGTGCAATTTACACTACATCTTTGACGCAATGTGAAATCTAAATCGCCCAACGATTAGTAGCTCTTCCGGTTTATCCGACCTCGCCGTGCCAATGTCGATGTCTAGTTTTCCAATATCCTGGCTTTCTTCAGGGTGACGGCAGAATCACTGCAGGGCAAAGTGGCAAGGCTTGCTGTTCAAAGGATCCCTGTGGACAAGCTTTGACACCTGTCCTTCTCGAGGTTCTGGATATTTACGTCGAGGCCACCAGCTCCCACCAGTTTGATGGCATTGAGTTGACCCTGGCGGCGCAAGTGAGAATGAGCATGATCATCTGTGGCAACATTGTCGGTTGCATTACTCTGTTCGCACAACTTGCAAGCAAACGACCAATCGAGCACAGAAAAAAGACCTCAAAGCCATCGATGCACAGAATAGGCTCCAAAACTGTATCTATGTCCTCTGCAATTATTTCAAGTAAGTTGTCAGCAATCTCTCATATATTATCTCCTTCCTCCCACCGTCGTTCCAAGCATGTCCAGTGGTCTCCCAACCTTGGGAATCGCCTTCCCCGTCCTAGGAGTTTCACCCAATTCCGTCATCAATCAAACAATGACAAGTGGAAGCTTCAAACTTCTCACATCGCTTGAATCATCACTTGAAATTGCTGGAAGCTTCAATGAATCATCAATTTGAAGGCTACTGTATCTGATTGTCATTTCTGTTAGGCCGAGTTCTACACATCAATCTGAGGCTGTTGTTTGCTGCAACTGTCGAAAGCTGGTTGCCCTGCCAAGCATTCATGATGCAACACTGGCGGAAACTCTTGAGTCAGCAAGGACATCGAAAGCAAACAAGCATGCAGCATGCCGACCGTATGACTAGCACACTGCAGTACCACCCTATCGGTTGTGAAGTCAAGCATTTCTTTTCACCACAGTGGCTCCTGACGAATTCATGGTTTCGCTGCGCTTCTTCCTTTGGAAGTGCCAAAGGCAGCGTTACTCAACTTTCCTGGACAATTGGAAAGTTGGACTTGAGCTGTGCTCTCTTTCGCTTGGCAAATGCAATACTGCAGGCTGCACGAGAGAATGCATCCAAGACTTGGCGACCAACAGGAGCTAAGAACTGCATGAGCATCTGCATCTAGTGACTGCCAGTGAGCCTGAATGAGCCTCAATGAGCCTCGCCCTTCCAACCCATCAGCTTCTCCGTTAAAATGGAGAGCTCTGCCTGAAAGCGCCGCATGTGACCCGAGAGCTGCTCGAAGGCCAATCGAGTCTCTCGAGTCACCACAAGCATGTCAATGGCCTTGGCAGGTCCTCGTGCAGTGGAAGTGGATTGATTGCCACGGTTTTTCGATTTTTTTTGCGGGGGGGCGGGTAGGCCGAGAAGGTAGTAGCTAGATAGCCAGTAGAAGCAAAAGTACCTGGTAGCTTAAGTAGCTACTACCTAGGACGCAGGATAGCTCACGCTTCTTCAAGGAAGCGCTCGCACTATTCATTTGGTTCCTACAGTAGATTGTTAGGGAAACTTAAGTTTGAATCCATGGATCATGATTGATTGATCCTTGTTCTATCGCACTTTGGACATTCTAAAAAAGGAGCAGCATGCATGAACCATGAACCCGGTCCTTGCAATCTGATGCACCCGTTCAGAAATTCTTCAAAATCGATTGAGCCACTTTGGTTAATGTCCAGCATATCGAACAGAAATTTCGCCTCGCTCGGCTCGATGTCCAAATCCCGGAAAAACGCCAGGACCTCCCTGTCCTCACTAGGGCCAGTGACTCCACGTCTTCAACGGAAGCTTCAAGCACTGTGTTAAAAGGCTGGATTATGAACATGCCACGATAGGAACCTCAGTGCCTGTTTGATCTGTGTGAAGGCTAACCAATGTTTACACACAATGATCATTCAATGATACTAGTGCCATAGCCGCTAGCCGCTAGCCCAAGTCCTTGGTGTGGTTCAGGATCTCCTTAAAGGAGATCTGCCCGGTTTCATCATCGTCCAGGGACTTGAACAGTCGCCGCGCCTTCATCGCTCGCTGCATATCTTTCACCTCTTCTGCCCGGCAAATGGCATTTTGAACGAAGGTTCCCGTGACCTGTCTGGTGCATCAGGCAGATTCACATCGTTTCTGCGAATGCCCTTTTTGCTTCCTCTGTCTGAGGCCGTCACATGTCATGTTCTCGGCATCTTTGGGGCTCCAAAGCTGGGCCATCGCACTGTTGCATCGTTCAATGGCACAGAGATGTGCTTTGTGCGTGAAGGTGTCTCGCACGCTCAGGGCTCAGGCACGTTTACACACTGTGGACACCGCATGACACCTTATCCTGTACGTTTCGTTGCTTTAAGGTCAGATCTTTTTTGAGGGGGTCCTTGGAACGCAAGCAGCCCAGGAAAAAGTTGTACAGAATTGCATAATATCATCATGATATCATAAACCAATGTGCATAACTCCATTATTGTTTATTAATATTACTTATACGAGTACAGTTGATTCGCGCTATGCCACGATGCCTCCACCAAAGCCACACAAACACACACATCTTAGAGCTTCCACTGAAAGAAGTTTTCTGTCTGGAAGGAACAAGAATCATTCCGAACTTGCATGTTGAACAGAAACAAACAACTGCAATATGTTCTTATTATGCTTTCACCTGCATTCACTCACTATGGTTACCTCTGCTTCCAACTAAGCTAGCGGCCACGTTCATGACTCCCAAAATAGCAAAAGCCATAAAGAGAACCAGCAGGAAGGCTGCTAGGGTGGAGATTTCTTCCAAAATGGGCGACACCATGCCACCCCAATCCAAGCCGCCCGTCATGCCCTGGAAGAGCGACAGCATCGACACGGGCACATTGCCAAACAACGGTTCCAACGAGTGACCCACGTTGCTCTCCACACGATAGACCAATACAATTTGAGTCAAGTAGATGGCCACCTGAGAGATGCATGAAATTGCATGACATTGTTAGCAATGAGCATTGTTAAGAAGGCTGTGTTTCACCACATTGGTTCTTCCATTATCTGTACAAATGCCAAAAGAATGACTCGAGTTTCTGAGTGTGTGTGTGTGTGTCTCTATTTCTCAAAAAGGTCCATTCGACACAGCTGTGCAAATAACGAAAGACCTGCGTTTCACTGTGAGAGCAGGGGTTCCAAATTGGACAAAGCGGAAAGGAGGGAGGCCGAAGAAAGGATGCTTAATTGGAGGCTCAAGACACGATGTAGATCATTAGGCCCAATAGGACGACTGTCCAGAAGAAGGGTTTGGAACAATAAAGTAAGCAGCTCACCAGAAGACGAAGGTCTTCAGCCATCAAAGCGATGCGAAGGAC